AGGGGTGAAAGAGTTTATTTTTCAGCCACGCCTGAAATCAGCTTGGCTTTCAATTCAGTGTGGCAATGACGAATGAGTATTTTAAATACAAAGCAACTTCAGGAGCAAAAAAATAAAATTACATTTGTATGTCTGTAACAATATGGTTATTGTATGCTAAAACTGTCTTACACTAAGGAAAAAAACTTCTATCCTGCAGAAGAAAAAATGTTGAAAACTTTATTATGTGGATTTTGGCAAAAACTTTTGCATGAGAAAGTATAGTGCTTTGTGGTTAGTAGAATTATTTATGTGTGCATACAGACCTAAACAAGCAGAGTGGCAAAAAATAAAGATACAGTTTTCCTTGGGGCTCCCTTTCATCTGGCTAAGCTCCTCATGTTATTTTTCTGCCATTTATGGTTGTCAGCAGATAGTATTTCGCCAGCAACCATTTTATGTGGGGTTTTTTTGCATAATTTCTTTATGATTCTATCATATCAAAGAAAACTTTTGAAGTAGGAAAATTACCTCATCTTTGCTACATCATGTCATTTGCTCATTTGCACCCTAACCTCCTCAGAGATGTTGTAGTTCTGATGTTACTAGCACACTTATGTATTAATTAATTCTAATCGATAAATATTACTATAGATATTGAAGGAAGAAAATGAAACAAATGTTTTTTCAGTGCTTTTTTCTTGGTGTGTCAGAGTTAAATTATCTTTGGATTTTGTATGTTTGGGGAGCACCATTTGCTGTTAAGTAGGGTATTAATTAAGGATTAATTGCTCTGTTCCTGCAAATACTTAGGCAGGTAACTTAGCATCTCAGAGGAAAGATCCATGAGTTTGTATGAGGATGCTGCTGTCACAGTGTTGCTGTAATGTCATTTAAAGGTAAACTATTATTTCTGGTATATTTTCAGTGTTAAATCTCTGCCTGGTAAAAGTGACGTAAATAAGTTATGCTTGATTATATTGCCTGAGGATGTGGTCCTCAAATTTGCACATTTACATTAAAAGCAGCTACGTGGAATCTTGCAGATCTTCACAGTGGCCAGTGCACGGAAGTTTTAGTTGGAATTAATAAAGACTTTTAAGCCTCCAAGCATTTTCCCACTATAACACCACCATCAAAGATTTATGAGTGTGATGACACCTCAGACACAGTTTAGCAAACAGACACAGATGGCATAATTTAGGAAACAAACATAAAATATTTTGAAGCCTTGCTAATGGTGTTTATTTATATGTGTTTTGTATGCTGTAAACTAGCTTAGGTATGACTAGTGGTGCTGGCAAAAACTGTCACATACAGTTCCTACTAGATACTGGTGCATACATATATAGCAGCTTTTATGAAATATAAATACCAGTCCTGGGAATACAGGATAATAGAAGGATAGAGTTAAGGCTAAGGACAGAAAGCTTCCTGCAGTGTCTGAATTATTCTTCAGTGAATGAGGTCTAGGCTAGCTAGCATTCTCAACTCGATGTTATGTCAACAGTATGTATTATCAGCTTATCAAATGCATTATATTTAGTCAAATCTACAAAATCGAATTAAAAAATAAAAAAGTCCAGCATCATCTTTCAGCGGGTTGCTTTGTCAAGCCTTGCTTTGAAACAGTACGGCTTGAGGCAGGGGACTTAATTCTGACATGCATACTTTTCACAGACATATCCTTCTTTTCCTCCCCTATGGAACTGGGGGAGCAGTGGTGTCTTTCTGCCCTTTAAGGAACAGCTGAGAGCCCTGAATGAAGTGTGCCTCTGTGCATGTCCTTACAACTGAGATGATATTGAGATAAATCATCTGTGATTATGCTTGGAATGGAAGACTTCATGGGCAAGTGCCTTGAAGCACCCATTTTGTCAGGGATTCTGGATTCTTTGAAGATCTCTAGAAAACCATGCAAGAGATAACTTCCTTGACACAAACATCTTGTCCTTATTTTAGCTAGTTGAGTCTCAACTTAGGTGTTGAGTGAGAGTAGAAAACAATCTACTCTCTCATTCTTCTCTGGTTAGCACACACATATTGTATGTTAACTCTGTATTTCAGTTGAGAGTTTTGCTTTGTGTAGCTGGCTAGAATGCAGAAAATTCTACAAGCATTTGAGTTAGGCTTGGGTATTTCTCTCTAGTATCCAAAAAGTGCTGTGAAAGTCTTAAAATGTCCTTATGAAAGTGCAGAGGCAAGTATCATCCTTGGATTTTATCAGGAATGTGTTCCTATCTCTGAAGGAGATTCAGGGTTTCCTTTATAAACATTATAATCTCTCCCTTGTCATTAGTTTCTACTAACCTCTTTTGAAAGGCTTTCAAATAATTCTCATAGTATATCTAGCTTCTGTCTCTATGTGTCATTAGTGTTATCCACCTGCAAACATTTCTACAGCATATTTATCCATTGCCTCCTGGTTGCACATATCTTTTAAACAAAACTTTAAACTGGAATTCCCCCTCCCTGGAAGTGTTCAAGGCCAGTTGTGATGGGGTTTTGAGTAACCTCGTCTAGTGGGAGACGTCCCTGTCCATCCAGGGAGTTTGGAACTAGATGACCTTTAAAGTCTCTTGCACGCCAAACCATTCTATGATTCCACAAAATTGGCGAGTGTTTTGTATTTGTTGGTAATAATGCAGAAATCTGTAGCAGTTGCAAAGGAGGAAAATTAACCAGCATAAATCCATCACAAGATTTTTGCGTTTCAAGCAACTGTCTTGGACCCAAGAATGGTAGTGCTGCAGCTTTGAGGCTTTACAGCTATCATTAGGCAGTGGCACAACCCAGAATATGACAGTATTGGACAACAGCAGTGTCCAAGGTAAATACGTATTTTACACAAAGCTTGCAGCAAAAGATTTAACCAATCCCTAGGTGTTTGTAAGGTGTTGTGTGGTGCAGTCGTCCTTGTAATGTTCTGGGGCCACTGGAGTTGCACTAGCCAACTGAGATTGTATCGTGAGACTTTGTGAAACATCATTCAAAACATAAAGAATAACAAATGTAGGCTGTTTTCTTTAGCCCCTTATCCTTCAGCCTAAGGTGAGTGTTCAGCACACAATTGCTTTAGAGGTGCAATGAACTAGAAGTTCAGGTAAGATTGTATTACACAGTAGAATAAGGGGGTTTGCCACTCTCTATAAAAATGTTTATTAATGGTTGTGCTAAGTGTGTTTTTCAGGAATTCTACATATCCAACTATCTTGCTTCCTTATCACTTGATGATAGTTTGAACACTTTCAGTCTTCTTTAGCAGCAGTTAAAATCAGTCTGTTCCAGGAATTGGAGGTTTCTTTTCAAAATTTATCTTAAGAGCCTTTGACAAAGACGAAACTGCCTTTTCGTTTTTTTTCACAGGGTACTATGGTGATGGTCTGAATGCTATCATTGTGTTTGCAGCCTGCTTCTTGCCAGACAGCAGTCGAACTGATTACAACTATGTCATGGAAAATCTTTTCCTGTGAGTGATACGTGAGCGGTGTGGCAGAGTCTTTTGAGTTAGTACTCATAATTACGTACTGAGAGATAACATGTCTTTAATTAAGAGGTAATTTTGGTCATTAGAAGGGGAGTAATGTGAATTATAAGGAAAATGAAAGTTTTAGGTAAACTGCTCAGTGGAGTATTATTTTGGTATTATTTACCTGCTCAAATTAAGGCACATTTTCAAGACCAAATCTGGCAAGTAGTATCTCCCTAAATGTCAAGGAATGCAGCGCCTTCAGCCTCACAGGCCTGCAGGCATGGCACTGTTTCACTAGTGATTTCCAGCCCTTGCTGAAAACGGTCAGCAAGGACTTAGGCCACCTGACTGGTTTTCACTGTTCATTGTTTATTATCTATTATGATATTTTTCATATATACTGTGGCTGTGTTTAGGAGTCACAAGACCATTTTGTGACACTTGTAAAATTACAGGATAAGTGGCAGTTGCTGGCACAAACAGCTCTTAAGTTTTTTTTCCTGACTCCAGAAAGGATAAGTGACAGGGGCCAGTTGGGCAGGACACAAATTTCATGACATGAACCCAAATTTATCACAGGAAAGTTACTGCTAATAACAACTTGTTTCAGCAGCCAAAAATTGTGAAGGCAGCACTTCCTGCCTCCAACTACTTTGACTTAGAGCTGTTAAAATATCAATCATTCTTACATTATCTATGCTAAAACCCAGTAAGTAATTTCTAAAGCCAGTATAGACCTGGCCTTTGCCATTTGCAGCTTCCAAGGCCTCAAGAGCACAAACCCAGTCTCCTTAAAAGCTCCAGTCCATGCAGATACACTTGGTGACAGCCAACGTCTTCAACATTTTATCTACATGTGAAAAACAAGATTGAGTGTTTTAGTTCCATATCAGACTGCTGGCATTTGTCTGGTAGAGCCCCTTGGACCTCCATGTCATGTACAGTAGCTGGTTTACACAATGCCCAGCAATTTAGAGGAGAGGAATTGCTACAGTTTGCTTTAACTTGATAACTAGGGAACAAAGCTGAGAATAACTGTGATTGACATTAAATGGTTGTTATTTCACAGTGTCATATTTCACAGTATCATTCTGGTTGGAAAAGACCTTCAAGATCACAGAGTCCAACCACTACCCTAATTGCAGCGTCCACCACTAAACCCTGTCCCCTGACACCATGTCTGTCTTCTTAGATGTCTCCAGGTCAGGTGGCTCAGCCACCTCCTCAGACAGCCTGGATCACCCAGTCCAACTCCTGCCCCACAACACAGAACAACCCCAAAGTTCACACCATTTCTCTGAGGACGTTGTCCAAATGTTTCTTGAACATTGTCAGGTTCAGTGCCATTACTGTTTCCCTGGGGAGCCCATTCCAGTGCTCCACCACCCTCTGGGTGAAGAATCTCTTCCTAATGTCCAACCTGAACCTCCCTCTGCTTATCTTTCTACCGTTCCCTCGGGTCCTATCTTTAGCCACCAGAGAGAAGAGGCCAGTGCCTACTCCTCCCCCTTCCTTAATGAGGAAGCTTTCATTTCAAAGCAAGCACTTCCTGCTTTCAGGGTAAGAGAATCGGTGTAGTTGATGAGAAAAATTCTGTCCCATCGTTTCAAATAGTGAAGAAATTACCATTATTACAAAATAATAAGAAATTACCAGTTAGGTGAGGTTTGCTACAGAACTCAGCATTCCTAAAATGGCAAATGGCCTAATTCAGACCACTATGAATAAGAGCTGTTCAGTGAAAGTACAGGAGATAAATGAGATAAAACTGAAAAACTAGCAGAAATTCCTTTTTGTTATGATATGCCTATTATTCCTGATGAGGAATATGCATATTATAGCTGATTATTCATAATATTCACAATTCCCTTTTCATCTAGGCAAGCATGGACATTTTTGAGGGAGTCACTGTTTCTGTAACTGTAGTGTTTTCAGAAGTAGCTGGAGAAAGCTTTCTGTATTTTGCAGTGCCTTTAAAGCACTAGATGTTGTTCTGTGTCAGAAAGGCTGATTTCATAACCTGTCAAATAGTCAGTAGGTTCAGTTAAATCAAGCTTTTTGCATCAGAATGTCCATGCAATCCTTCATTTTGATATTTCACTGTTAGACATGACCCTTTTCAAATGCCAGGCAAAATCAAGGAGTGCAGAACTGCCAGGTGAGAAAGAGAGCAGTGAAAAGCATTGAGTACGTAGTGATTTAGATTGGATTTATCAAATGCATGCAACTGCTCAGTTAATGGGTGCCTACTTTATGCCTGGGTAAAATATCACTCTCTTTGGTTAGAACTAGATTTCCTACTCTTCTTTTGAAGAAACTGTATCTTAAGGAATTTAAGGATCAGATTCGATCATGTGTCATTCCCATACACCTGTGAAAGGGGGTATTATCCTTAGGGGACAGAGCTGCCTTTTGTAGTGAGCACACTCAGACATTCAGGTTTTTAAGATGCAGCTTGAGATTTTTCATTGTAGTTTTGGGGCTGGACAGTAGAGAGAAGAATTTGCACATTTCTGTGATTAACCCCTCCCAGGTGAGGTAGGGACTACTGAAACTAGATTTAAAGCTACCCTTTAATTTGAATGAGTACCGTGCTCTTCTAGGTAAGGTGAGTTTGGCCTCAAGAATACTCTTCTGTCTGAATTATGCTTGTTCAGCTGAGGCACTTAATGAGTATTTCGAGTGTTTTGCTCACAAAATGGAGTGCTATGTCCTGTCAAAAGGCAGTTTGAAGGACAGTTTTTATTGCCTTTGAGATTCAAAGTGTTTGAAGTTAGCAGCTACAGACTCAGTAGCAGTAGTGTGAGGATCACAAGCATCATAGACAAGTATCTTCTCCTGACACTATGTGACAACTAATAGTGATGACAGGTTTCTCAGCTGCTAATCTCAGAATTTCCTGGAACTTCACGTGGTCCTGCTGTGCTGTCCCTTGAAAAATCTCATCATTTTATGCCCTTTTAAGAAAAAACAAAGCCACCTGTGGGATTGAAAAACTAACTATGAAACTTCATGTTAGGAAACGATGTATTTCTGAAGACAGAATAAGACTGTGGTTTTCTAGTCATGCATCTGCAGGTAGCCTGGCAACTAGTGCTAAGTGTTCATGATTGTTTAAAGGAAAACACTGTCTTGTCATAAATTGGTTAATTTGCCTTGATTTATTCATAGTAGACTGATTTATTTTGGGCTTAAGTGGGTGGTGTAAGTATGTGCTCTCTTCTGTACTTTTATCAGCTATGTAATCAGTACCTTAGAGCTGATGGTCGCTGAAGACTATATGATTGTCTACTTGAATGGAGCAACACCAAGAAGGAGGATGCCTGGGCTGGGTTGGATGAAAAAATGTTACCAGATGATTGATCGACGGTGAGTATTGTTTTCCTTTCTGACCCACAGCCATTATCTAAACACTGTCCATTTTTGTTACTCCCCTGTAAGACAGTGTTTGCTGTGTATGATCTTTCTTTGTGTTTTGTGGCTTTATTTTTGTGAGTTTTTTAAGAAACCATTTATTTTTTACTTAGGTTACGGAAGAATTTGAAATCATTTATAATTGTTCATCCATCATGGTTCATCAGGACAATTCTGGCTGTGACACGACCTTTCATAAGGTATGTAGTGAATACCAGTGAGTTTCTACATTGTTAAGTATACAGAAACACCTTAAATGATCAAACATGGCTGTTAGTCTTTCACAGAAGAGTACTTGTTTTACAGTTCGTGTTGGGATTTTGAGAGTTGAATATGACTTTCCTAAACTGAGCGTAAAAATACTTGTGATTTATATGAGTATCTAGTTGCAAACTTCAGAGGCATGACATTGTAAATGTGTATTGTGTGTGCAGAAATCACAATTCAGTCCTTTACAATTGTCTTTGTTCCAAGCCCAGCTAAAAGGCATGCAGAAAAGGGATCTGCATGTTATGATAATCACTTCATTTAAAGAATCCTGGCTACAGGGCAAGATTAAGTTACAGTTCTGAGTTTATGAAAAATTAGTTGCTGCTCATGCAAGAGGACTGCCAGTACCCTGAGCTGTTCCAATGCATAGGAGTCCTGGTTCCAAAAAAAAAGGTTTTATGCCGCCAAAAGAGTTCTCTGATTAGTAAAAAAGCAAATGTTACAGCCTCTGAAGACCTCCAAAGCTGTTGAAGAAACAGGCAAGTATTCAGATGAAACCCTGAAATCAGGGAGAGCAAATTGACAGGTGTGAGAAAGGGTTGCTTCAGGCCAAAGAAGAAAGATCAACTACAGAAGCAATCAGATGCACATCATGACAGACCTCACAGGGGTCAGCCCCCAAGCTTCAGGTGAGGACACGGAGGTGTCTGTTGTGGCAGGGTGCTCTGCCCTGGCAGCTTGGTGTTGAGATGGGAAAGCACATGACTTCTGCCACTGCCAAAGCGTAACAGGCAGAGTGTCATAGCAGAGCTTCTTTCAGATGTTGAGTCTTTAATCCCCAGTAAAATTTGGCAATTAAAAATACCAGAGTCACAGGGAAACAACCTTTGGAATTACCAACAGTGATGATGGGAATTCACTGAGTTGCATTTTATGTTGCATTTTATTTTTATTGGCATCCTATTTGCTCCCAGAGGAAAAGTAGGCAGTAAAATTTTTTAAAAATCAAATATGCCATGTCTCTTTCAATTCTTTAGTCATTTATACAGAATGACCATACCGAGCAGCTGTGACTAGAGGTTTTGCATTGCAAAATAGGAGAAAATGTTATTCTAATTAGTTTTGCAAAGCAAATTAGCGGTACGAAACTAGGCACAATAGAGGCCAGTTAAAACTCTCAATTTCAGCCGTGTAAATTGAGTCTCTGTACAAGAAGAACATGAAGGGCAAACGGGAGCTGAAAAAAGGTGGGCAGGACACATGACCAGAGTGACTTTTGTGGAAGATGACATAAGATATTTGAACCTTCACTGAGGACAGAAGAGCACTATGAGAAAGCTGAGTTAAAAACTCTGGGAGGCATGAGAAGAGTCAATTCAATAAAAAGCAATGTAAGGAGATCGAAACTTGATTAGATTTCAGGCTGATGGTTGTGGCGGTTTGCTAGCCCAGAGCTGTTCACCAAACCACTGACATGTACAGTGCAAATCTCAGAGTAAGAAGTAATAGGGAAGAATATGTATTGTTTTTCCTGGTCAACACTTAAAAACATATATTATCAATGTGCACTTTTCACTGTTAACTGGTGTTTAAAAACTAAATGCGACTAGTGCTAAATTTGCAAAATTGCTTTGTGAGTCAAACTACGAAGGTAGATTTCTTGTGAGCTGATGCACATAAAATAATCAGACAAGTTAAGAGCTTTATTTTGAAGTGTTTTCTAAATATTTTAGCCTTTTCCTGAGTGACCATTTCTCAAACACAATAAAGGATCAAATAGCAGAGCTGAAGTGAACAGGGGAAGTATTTCCTCATGATAAGGCCCTGCAGTAAGAATAGGCATGCACATACACAATATGATATGTACTCATATAAACAAATGAGGAAGTTTAGTTTTATCTTAGATTGAGAATCAGTGTCAAATATAAATGCCAATTTATCATGATCACTTGACGTTAATTCATTGTGGCCATGTCAAGTGTATGTTTTCTATCTCTTTTTGCATATCATGTAGGATATTTTATTCTTCTCAGAATTTCAATCCATCTCCTTCGAACTGTATAACTAATTGCATTAGTTAGTATGTGGATATTACAATGTACAATGCTGCCCTAAATACTTGCCTAAGCAAGGAAGAACAAAAGGTCTAGACTTGATTCCAGCACCACTAAAACTCGAGCATGCTCACGATTAGCTGAACTTTGTAATTGAAATATGAATGACAAAATCATTTAATACATTAAGTACATGCCTTCTGGTTTTTGGGTTTTTTTTAATATATCATGAAAGATTTTTGGGGAAAGTCAGTTAACATATTGTTTCTGTGTTTCAGTTCTAAGTTCAGTAGTAAGATACAGTATGTCAACACACTGGCAGAGCTTCGTGAAATGATTCCAATGGAATACATGCACATACCAGACAGTATTGTCAGGTAAGTGATGTACAGTAAGCATGTACTTATTCTGGAGGTTGAAAGAAATCTCTTTCCACAAACTAAAAATAGTGTTTCAGAGCCACTAAGGAAAACAGAAAGCCCCTTCCTGATATTTTTACACAGGCTTATGTGTTGTTCCACAAAAATTTCAGTCAAACTCAGAAGCAGGAAAACACTGTGTAATAAAATCACAGCATACAACGATATATATACACTTAGGGGAACCAGTTTTTATAGGAAGAGGAGGGTTTCATACTGGACCATATTATACTGCTGGTAAAAACGAGGAAAAATTTCAGGCTCAGTGTCCATTTATCAGTCCTATGACTATATAATCTGAATTGGAACAGACTGTTAACTCACTAATTGCAGCCCAAAAGAAAATAAGGTAAAGGTTTAACCCTTCCACAGCTGTCACCTGTCCTATATTTTTCTGTAGCTTTTACCAGTATAAGTAAAAGCACTTTTAAGTTTTAGTCATAGAGAGAGCTTTGAACTGAAGCAATTACTCAAAGGTAGCCTGTTCAATAGAAAACCACAAAGAGACCCTAGGTTCACCCTTCCTTATCTCATTGATTTTCATGGTTTAACCCAGGAGCATTGAAGCATAGTGTCTCAGTTCTTGCTTCTTATGTGTAAAGGTTTTTCAAAAGCAGGTATTTCTAAAGGAAAGATGCCTACTAAAATACTGCAGAAAGTTGATTTGGATTGCTCACCTCAAGTGGCCTTTTTTTCAGACCTGAAAACAAAAACCTGAAATGGCATACCAAGACTGAAAACCTTGGAAGTCTATCATGGTTTTCCTGTGGGTCATTATTGAAAAGACAGCCTGTTCAGGAATGCAAACATTCTGTAATAGAAGGTATTTTGATGAGTAAACACACAAGTATGGTTGCCTTTTCCTGATAATTTGTCAGTGACAAGGTATGAAGAACACTCCTTTTAGAGCTCTCGTAGATCTCTTCAACCCAGGCAAGAGTTTTCATACCTGCCTCACAGCAGTTTTGAAAGCAGCATAATTTCCTTCATCGGGCTAGTGGCTGCTCTGATATTTGTGTAATTCCAGGCAGCAAACAGGAAGGTCAGTTCTTGCAGAATTGCTTGTAGAAAGAGTATATTAGAATCATGAAATGAGGGATCATAAGCACTTGGTCTCAAATGTAATTTCTGCTGTAACTTCTTTAGAGGTGGGATGATGCTAAGGATGTGGAGCACAAAGGTTGTTGGTCACCTGATAAAAAGATGTCCAGAAAGTTTTAACATCCCTAAAATGTTTTCATTCTCCTTCCATCTCTTCCTCCTTCCCTCCCTTCCTCTTCTGATTCCTGTAAAAATTTTAGTTTCTTACAGTTCTCCCAGACTTTAACCTGGTAATTCAGTGTGTTTCTCTGTTTCTGCTGTCAGACTGTCTGTAGCAGAACACACATCTGTGTTACACACATTTTTTCTTCCCTGTAGACTGAAAATTGTTTGGGAAGTCCATTCACCTCTCAGCCCCAGTACCAAAGAAACTTTATAAGTTAAAGGAATTTTAGGGAACTGTCTATTTCATGTCTTCAGCAGCCAGATGAGAGGTCATTATTTTGCTGAAGAAAAAAAATGTGAAAGGTGGCAAGCCTGCCCCTTGGTGGCAAGCATTTTTATGATGTCCTAATAAGATGATGTAGGGAGTATGTGCATTCAAGGCATCTTGAGTGGTTATTCCATGCCACAGGGGGAAGAGCAGCATTCAGCTGATAGCTTCCCTTCTGCTTCAAATTCAGAAAGATTCCTGTGGCAAAAGAAAATAAATTTCAGCTTTCAGCTTCATAATTGCTCCATTAGCAAGAACAGAGATACCACTATTGTCAAGAGGAATCCCCCCTGTAGAAAGTTTATATAGAGTTACAACAGGGTTTGGTTTGAGTGGTTGGTTGATAATTTATGCAGAAGTAGGATACAGTGTGCCTGTCATATCATATGAACTTGTACATCTTTTCTCTTCCTTCACCCACTCTTACCATATAAGGTATGATGAAGAAAAGTGTATTAAAAGAAGAATGAGGTAAAACTTGCTTTCTAGCCCATGCTGCTGCTCATAATGGAGTTAGTTTGTGTGTCAGCCTTTCACCTGCAGGTGACCTCAACAGCTGAGTGAGAGAGGACTTGCAATGATGTGGAATCTTAACTTTCCCCTTCAAGCTGTTGAGATCAGCCTCCCTTGCAAATAAAATTTACTCAACTGTAAGTGCCCTTGACTTGGCCCAGGCTGCAGCTAGTTTAATACTGTCAGACAGAGCAACTGAATGCTTTCAGCTCTCTCCACTGGGCATGCCTCAGTTTCCTGCTGCTTTTACGTTTCTGCCTCCAAATGAGCTAAATAAGGAGTTTCAAATTACAGGTGGGTTCAGCACAAGGATAAATGGTATCATACTGAACCAAAGAGCTTTAGGGTCAGTGCATAATACTGGGAGCCTTTTTTAGAAGCATGTACTTTGTTTGTTATTTGCTCTGCTATTGCTCTGCTTCTCTCTTATGCTCTGCTTGCTTCTTTGTTTCTATATATCAATAACTTTTACTCACGCAGACTGGATGAAGAACTGAGGGAAACTTCAGAAACAGCTAAGTAAGATAGCTTTCAGCATACTCCTGGCATTATGTTTACTTGCTTCACAGGAATGGATTGAATGCAGTACTACGTTATGTGTTTGGTACAGCAGTCAGCTTGTAGCTTCAGTTACTGTGTAAGCTGTCAGATTTGTGAACTGGCTTCCCCCCTCACTATAAGCAGCCTGCTTTTGTACCATGTGGTCTCAGTAAGGAAAAATAATACCCTCACATAATAAAAAATACATATTTGCTATTTACTGATGATTGTTTCTATAGTCATTGGGAGGACTGAAACAACTTCTTTACTCCACTAAAATGGTCCATTAAATATTTTCTACTGTTCACCCATTATGTAAGATGATTAGTAAAGTTTTTAGGAGGTAATTATTTTTTTTTAAGTATTTTTTACAAACTAAGTTAGGGATAGCTATTATAACTCAATCTCAGTTAAGGTAACTTTTCCTGTCTTTCCAGTGTTGCTTGGATGGGCCAGTGAATTAGTATTTGATAAACCTGTATTGTCTCTAGTCACTTAATAAATTAGTGGCAGCTGATGATCAAATACTGATAATCAGATACTTCCTACCTGCAACTCTGGGCTTTGACTGTGACATACTGAGGCAGTGTAAAGTACCATAGAAATCCCTAACTGGAAGGGGACAATAATTTTCTCACTGAGCAGAGAGAGCTAAGAAAGTATCCAGTGTACTTTTTTCACATGTGTGGCACACAAGATTCCAGAGAAGGGAGCTGTGTCTTTTGGGTCTAATATGACATTTTCCCTGTTGTTTTTGTAGCCAAAGATACTGAGTTTTTGAAGTTTCTTTTCAATCTTCTTTCTTTAGCTTTTGCGCTTCAGAATTTTTGTCTTACCACTATCTCTTTGTTGTATTTTTTTCTACAGTTTCTTCTTTTGCAGTACAAACTTTCCTCTGGCTCTTCTGTGATTAGCTTTTAAAACAGCTGTAGAGAAATTCCCTGTAAAACACTGGGCACTGCTTTTTTGATTCTAGTAGTTAAATTGCCTCAGAAGCAATAAATCTGCTTAAGTAGTTATCTGATAGCACCTGAGTATTTTATTAAACAAAAGAGGCCCACCCAACCTTGAAATGCGACTTCTATCCCTTCTTTTCCAGTGTTTTCAGATGCACTGTAGTATATGACAATGAAAACTCTGTAGAAGACAGTTGTTTTCTTGTTAGTCCTTTCATTCAAGGGTGCAGGCTGCAGCATAACAAGTGAAAGGGGAACTAAATATTCATATGAGGCATAACTGATTGTCGTTAATGTTGGATGTATGAAGTCACTGTAGTGTTTCCCTTCCCCAACTTAAAGAAATAGCTTTAAAAAAATACTTCTCAAACTAATTTGTGGTGCAGGAACTAAACTCACTACATTCCTATTAATAACATTTGTGTGTTTCTGCCATAAAAGTTACTCACTACAGTTAGTTATTACATCCACAAAATTTTATGTCATATTTAAAAGGAGAAGAAAATAAATTGAGAAGAAATGTTTACTGCTGCCTCTTTTTCCTTGTGCCCAGAACTAACTGCCTCTCAAATGATCCAGAAATGACTGCAGTGGAGCAGGAGTAAGAATTTATGCCTAATACTATCATTACATTTAAACATTATTTTACAACCACTCTGCTAGAAACTAAGGCTGGGTAGACTCCATAAAACTTTTTGGAAACATGAATGCTTATAGTAATAATTTTCAGGAACTGGAATACAACATATGCAAGCAAAGAAAGCATTGTTCAATATATTTGCATTACAGATATGTTTCATGTGTCCTCAACCATGTCCAAACAGAGACAGATAGAATTCTTAGTCTGAGGATGTTCAGGTTAAGTTACGTGAAAAACAGATAGAAAATGTGTAACATGATCGGAGCTAAATTGGTCTTATGTGTTACTGTCCATTTAAAGTAAAGTGGTAAATTTGCCATTATCGTTCAGAGATTCAAAAGTCTTGTCTTTTACTTTGGTCTGGGTCATGCTCTTGATGTCTTTGCTTTTCTTTGCTTTTTGTGCTTCTCAGATTCTTTTATAGTTATTTGCCTGAATAAATCTCCAGTATATTTATGTCTTTTCCTTTCAAAGCTGGACTGGTTCCCTTGGAGCTGGGAATGTGTTAAGTCTACTGGCATGCTGTTCCTCCAACTGATAGTATAAACAACGCATGCAGATGGAAAACCCTGCGCTGGTCTTACTGTACATCATTGGGGGTGTTTGAAGCTGCAGTGAGTCACACCAGCACTAATAGTTCATTACTGGAATAGCGTGTCCGGAGGACTAGCCCTTGCAGCAGTGTGTGTATTCCCAGCCAGTGTGTAGAGGAAAGGAGTGACTGGGGACACGACTGTCCCTACCCATCCCCCTGATGCATAGGCGTATACTGCTGTCTCACACTGGAATATTGTTCAGGAAAGAGCATGTAGTAAACCTGACACCTCAATAAAAGATGCCATCAATAACATGAGCATTAATAAGCAGGCAAATAACTAGGGGTATGTGTAGCAAACACGCATAAGTAAAACTGAGCTTTTCCTGTCACTTTTAAAAAATAAAATTATACTCTAGTAAACTATCACAGTATTATACCTGATCTGTATGTTAGAACCATAAGTTAAATTCCTAGAGCAGCTGACATAAATAAAATCTCCAAGCATCCTTTTTTTATTCCTCAGACACTGTTTATTTGTAGTGAGTCAAGATGAGAACTGTTAGGGTTTTTTTAAAGTAGGAGAACAGAAATTACAGAATATGGTAAAGACTGTTTATTTATGATTTTGGACTTTTGTGGCTTGAACAATTTTCCTGTTTTTTTTAAATGAGAAGCTGGGCAGCAAAAAGCACTATGAGAAAAGATTTTTTTTTAGCTTAAATAAACATAGTTGAGGCCAAAGTAGTGCTAATTCCTGCTATTTATTTTCTCTGCATAAATATTAATCTGTATTCAGAAGTGGCAATAATCTTCTGTGGTCATATCACTCATGTCTGGTCTTATTTCTTCAGAAAGTAGGGTTTTCCATGTAAATGCCACCACAATGATAATAGCAATTTTAGACAGACTTTTATTTTGTGTGCTTTCTACTGAAACCTTTCTGGAGTCTGCCCAGCTCTTAGTTGGCTTCTGTGGTCCTTTTGTCTGTTGTCATGCTCCCTTGTGTTCTGTTTTGTTCAACTTCATGTACTTCCCTGTGACTTATGGTGTGTGTTTTTCATATATAGTAGGTAGGATGTGTGTAAATTATTTCACACTAGTGTATTTAAGTATATGAGATGCTCAAGACTTTGTGGGAGCTCAGGACTGGGGAAATAACAACCCATGTGTTTCATAGCACTGATTTCTTCTTTTCTTGTTGTTCTTTTGTGTTTGGTTCTTGTTGTCTTTGATGTATAGCATTGACATGACCCTGAAATAAAAAGCATCGCTGCCAGGCATTTGAAGAATAGAGTTCACTTGGATTTGTATCACCCGGACACCCAAGACCACGGGGTACTATAGACAATTTGGGTTAATTTTATTTGGTTTATGATTTTTCTGTGTCATTCAGCAGCTCAAGAAGACCAAAAAGCCCCATCCTGTTGCCGTGGAAACAGCAGGATTTTTGGAACTGGTTATTTGTGTTGTTTTCAGAAACAGAGTTTTCATTAGGAAAGCTATGTCATCTGGCATTGGTTTCGATGTATGTGTGTGCAATTTCTGTTTAAAAGGATACTATTTTACCAACAGTGCACCTCATGAGCACGTCAATGAGGATGTGAATTTTTGTTTCATTTTTGTCTTCAGCATATTAATGTTTATGCATAGCTAAACAGAATAGTTACTGTTACAATAAATATTAGCTTTGTTGTGTCACAGAGCAGCAGCAACTTTATTGCTTAACAGTAATTCTAGAAATTATGCAGAACTTTCTTGAATTTGTCTATTTCTTGCTGTCTGAAAAGTCATTCCATGTTCATTTAACCCTTTTAATTTGGTCACATAAAGACTGATACACTAAAAACTAAATAAGATTAGCCATCAAACAGACGTCCCAGAGGAAAAAATACTAACTGAAATTTATTTTAATAATTTAGTTTAGTATCTTTATTTTAGGGACATTTTTATAGAAGCGCCTAGTCCTATAAATGGTTTTTATACATTCTAAAAGCCTTGGAGTATTAATTAATTCTTGTTGGGTTTTAAATCTGGTTTTCCGATACTTTTTTTTTTTTATGTATTTGACAAGCATTCACTGCTATCAATGTAAAAAAAATTAATACTTAGTGTTTCCTACTCACATCCAAAGGTTAAATGTATGAAGCCACAGTTGGGAGTCACACTAATTTCTTAGGAATAGTTGTCAAAGTATTATTCATAGGGTATCTAAAAAAAAAAAAAGTATTGGAATGCAGTTTATTGTCTGTGTCATAAAACATGGCAGTAAAAACATGAAAAGGAAAAAAATCCTAAGCATGTCTTGTTTGCTGCTGTCCTGTGCGCTGGCATAAAAGACATTGAAATGTAAGTCCTCATATTTGGAAAATAACAGCATTCTCTTAGACCATTCTTTTGCAAGGAGTCCAAATCAATTTCAAGTGAATTCTGTTCGCTTGCTTTAGAAAGACAAGAGTCAAGAATATGACTGATGCTTTATGTTCCCCTAGTGAACACATGCATGTATTTCCCAGACGTTCTGATTCCCCTGCCTTGTGGAATGTCCTAAAAGAAATAGTGTTACACACTCCCTGAAATCTTATCTTCAAGGTACTCTCATATGCCCTAGAATTACATCTCTATTTTGTGTGTAAGTAAGCCCTTAGACATAACAATTCAATATCATTTACACCTTTTTCTGTGTGCACTAATAACAGTCCTGCTTCCAGTCCAGAATTATTAATTAAAGAGAAGACAAGCAAAAGATTTCTTCAGGAATAAAGTTTAAGTAAAAGGCAGGACAGAATGGGCCTGTTTTTTTCAGTAGGATCTAGACTGAGAGTGAAAATTTTATTTTGCTCTTTTTTTAAAAGATGAAATTTTTAAATTTTTTTTCCTGTGATTTGCACATTTCTACCTATTTGAATTTGTATCCTGTATTTGCAAGGTAGTCTGCAGGCAAGGAAGCAAGCAGCCATCATTGTGTGCAGAGTTGTTCAGCTACTGTCATGAAGATTGACAAAATAGCCAGAAAGGCAAGGACCTGCCAAATGCTTTCTTATCTGCCAGTATCAAAACTGAAATATCTGCCCCTCTGCAGTCCTTGCTGTGATCTGACAGGTGGTGCTTTGTATCTCTGACATACTAGCTAGCCTCCTGTATTGCATCTTTCTGTCAGTTCCTGTTAATTTGCACAGAGGAAGGGCTGACAGTTGTTGCTGCTCTATAAACTTGCCCTAAATTACAATCTGGTAGTTTCCACCGTTTCTCAGATATTTGAATCTTGACTTGTGTCTGCCTTATAAAAGTGCTGTCACTTAGTATATTGGGGATAATGTTCTGTGTACATACTATTTGTATTAACTTCCAGATGCTAACTAAGCTTCACCTAGATCTAAACTATTAAGAGCATTTAGTAGCATGAAGTCACATCTTCCATGGACCTGTAGTTTAAGCCACCTAGAATGAGCCAGATGATTTATGTTTAGCTGTAGGTGAAAGAAGTGTTCGCTGAGTGAGAAATGCACCACAAAGCAGAGGTTCAGCATAAATCTTTATATGCTGTTTGAGACCTAAGTGGGGTATTTGTGGCCCTAATAGTGGACGTCAGCTCAGAGGTGAGTTTTAATTCTAAAGGCTTTGTGTGAAACTACTAACAGCAAAGCTATACATGAATTAATATGATTGATATGCATAGACTGATAGTAGCAGCCTGAGATGGAAGGAATTTGTTTAAGCGTAATGCCACATTTAAACAAAATGGGTCATCAGTGCGATGGTGGAAAAGTGATGGCAAGATCAAGATGTGGTTATCTTTGCTTCACAATATATTTTGAAAAGTTTTTTTAATGTTATGGCGATTCTATAATATATTAACAATAATGTATCAATATTAATAAATCAGTAGTTTGTTGAAAGAGGAATATGGTACGTATAATTGCACAGATATAATCTTTTATATATGGATTTTTTCTACCGTGTATCAGAGTGCTCAGATAAAATAGTTGCAATTTTTATTTATTTTTTTTTGTTAAAAGATTTATGCTGATTTAAATTATAGACTAAGCAATACAAGGATATCTAGTATCATTGTATGCATATATATACCTATGAATCAGAAATAAAGAACTGCAACCCACCATTGAAAGTGTCTCCTTTCAGCTCCAAGTTTCTTCTTTATTCCCTGGGTGCATGGAAGCACTTTTCTGTTTCAAATCATAGTTCTTTGCATAGTAATATTTTTTTTTTCTTTCCATTCCCTAATCGTCCTTTCAGAATTTGCATCTGAGTAATTGCTGTGTCTCATGATGTTACTCTCCACCTCCATGTATTTGAATCCTTGTTTTGCTGATACTAGCAGTATCATTCCTGAAAGAAAGCAGGAGGTGCACCTATTTGCTGCAAAGTCAAAGAGGGTGGATTAAACTAACCCGTCATGCTTGTTGAAA